CATACTAAAATGTTTTCGTTCTGCACACAATTTATAAACCACAGCTCAATATGTGTGCTGACTCACTCTCAAACAGTGAGACTGCCACCTGCTGGTTACTTACTTACCATGTATAATAATGTCCAACTTTCATTCCCTTGTCTCCTTCCTTCTCAGGTTGGCAGAGTGTGTGTGGAAAACTGCCAGCAGTTTGATGGCTTCAGCGTCACGTACCGGCTCGAGGTTCCAGATAAGAACGTGTCTGCTGAGCTGCAGTCCTGCTATGCAGCCATAAGCATCACCCAGGCTCCCGACCAGATGTGGGGGCTGCTCTACGTAAACGACTCGGAGGCTTTGCGCAGGCCTGAGTGTCAGGACCTGCAGTACTCTGTTGTAGCCCAGGAGGAGCACACGCAGCAGGAGGCCAGCACACAGATCCACATCATACTAGATAGTGAAGGTAAGACTGCAGCCAGTGTCCACTTAACTTATCAAGGTTTCAAAAAGGAAACTCTAACCTGTTGTTATCTGAAATCTACATTTGAAGACAACATGCTCATATTTAGAGGAAATATCTGAAGTTATAGTTGCAGTTTTCTCTGGGCACTGAAAAACTCACTTCCTAAATCACCACCACCTTTGGCACACAGACATATTCTTTTCAGAAATGTTCCAAATGCCTTTTAAACATGTGGCAATGTGTGATTCTGGCTCTGTTGTACATAGTAAACAAGGCCAGTCAGGAGAACCAGCAGTTCCTGTCCTGTGCTGAGAACAGACGACGAGGAGACTGTGAGTCTGTCCGAGGCCTGGGAGCAAAAACGGGGAGGTGTCAGTGGAGGCAAGGCACAGAGAAAGGTAATTTTTATTTAATTAAAAGGGATCATCTCAAATAAAAGTTGTTTTCTTGTAATCCTACAGAATTTTAACATCAGTGAATCATGTTTTACTCAATATGAGACCTTGGAGTCTTTTAATGAGAACCAAATGAGAACATGTTTCCCTCAGCGGTGGCAATGGAACAAATTAAAGCCCGGATCCAGCATGTGTGTCTCGCTCAGTTACATCCTTGTCTCTTGCAACAGGATGCACAGAAAATGTGGTGTTAATTTGGAGAAACAGAAACCACATAATGGCAGGAACAAGTCCCCACAGTCATGTATTGTTTAAAAAACAGCTTCAGCTAACAGAACATAGTCAGTCAGTCACGTGCTTGTTGTTTGTCATCTGGCATCATGTGTTTGCCCACTGACCCTTTTCATATTTCAGGGATATCTGAAAATTACTCGACCTGCTCCCCTGACCTGCGGACATGCCCTGACAGCTTCTGTGATGCAGTGGAAAGCAAAGATTCATCAATATGCCCCCAAGACTGTACAAGTATGAAACATTTATTTTCCTCCATATAGTAAAAGATATATAAAATATACATGTTTAAATGAAACCATCTTTGTCTGTGAAGAGGAGACTGTGATCGGAGGTCACGAACGAGGCGTGGGGAACGGGATCAAGGCCGGATATGGAACTTGCTACTGCTACTTGGAAAGATGTTTCTGTGAGAAGGAAGATATCGAGGGTGAGTCGTCATTAATCACACGAAATAAGTGAAAGATTGTCTCCCGGAGGTGCTGTGTCATGTCATCTGAAGAATGAACCAGAAATTGATAGCTGCTTTCTTGAAAAATCTTCTCCTCCAGAGGCGATATGCGACGACATGTGTAAAACCATCATCGCCACCTCCCTGCTGCTCTCCTTCGTCGTCTCCATCCTCCTCTCCTCATACTTCATTCACCGGTATCACAAGAACTCTTCCAAGCCGCCCATCGCCTCTGCAGAGATGACATTCCGTCGGCCGGCTCAGGCTTATCCAATCAGCTTCCCTGCGAACAACTTACGCCGTGGCTCTCAGGAATCCATCGAGACTGACACCTTTAAAATACCTGTGAGCTGCTTCTTTCAACACATAGACCTTTTCTTCCTTTTACATTGTGAGTTGGAACATCTGAGAAATGTTGTGTTGTTTCAACAGGAGGATCCAAAGTGGGAGTTTCCTCGTAAAAACCTTGTACTTGGCAAAACTTTAGGAGAAGGAGAGTTTGGAAAAGTGGTCAAGGCAACAGCGTTCAGGCTGAAAGGAAAAGCAGGTTACACCACCGTGGCTGTGAAAATGCTTAAAGGTAAGACGAGCCAGGCAATGACCAGACAAGCCTGGAAGCAGCATTGATATATGAGGAATGAATGTCTGGAGGGATGAATGGTTTAATCATTACAATCCCTGCTTCTCCTCTATAACAGAGAACGCCTCACACAGTGAGCTGCGTGACCTGCTGTCAGAATTCACCTTACTGAAGCAAGTCAACCACCCGCACGTCATAAAGATGTATGGAGCATGCAGCCAGGAAGGTAAGGCCTCGGTCCTCCATCCTGCCGTCCTCTCTCTGCGCGTGTGTTGCACATGGAGTCCTGAGTGCTGCGTTTCTCTGAATAGGTCCATTGTATCTGATCGTGGAGTATGCCAAGTACGGGTCACTCCGCAACTTTCTGCGCGAGAGTCGGAAAGTTGGCCCGAGCTACATGGGCAGGGACGCCAACCGAAACTCCAGCTACCTGGAGAACCCAGATGACAGGGCTCTCACCATGGGCGACCTGATCTCGTTTGCATGGCAGATCTCCAGAGGCATGCAGTACCTGGCTGAAATGAAGGTACATGACAAACAATAATAAGATGCAAAATGCAAAGTATGTTTGCTTACTGCTGGAAATGTACCACTGAAAGTGTTGGTATTATTATGATAGCAGTCAAATAGAAATAAGTTTGTGTTTCAATTCAAGCGACTGAAGCTGAAATATCAATTTAAAGGAAGTTACTGAGAGGCTTCAAGCTCTGAAACAAGAGAGTTGAATAAAGATGAAATGAGTGTTTTCGTGTGGCAGCTTGTTCACAGGGACCTCGCAGCACGAAACGTTCTGGTAGCTGAGGGAAGGAAGATGAAGATCTCAGACTTTGGCCTTTCCAGAGACGTGTACGAAGAGGACTCATATGTTAAGAGGAGCAAGGTGAAGAAGAGGCAGTAAAGTACATTTTGTTTTATTCACAACAGTCTTTTCAATGACAAATAACAATGTTATTCTGTATGTTTTTCCAGGGTCGTATTCCTGTTAAATGGATGGCAATAGAATCCTTGTTTGATCACATTTACACAACGCAAAGTGATGTGTGAGTATAAACATCATTTAGTTTGACATATTGGAAAATATTGTTTTATCGACTAATATGAAAGTATTAACCTATAGCTTAGAGCTTTGCATAAAAACTGGAAATAGGAAGATTTACTTCAGGCACATGAGCAGCCTGAAGAAAGTTTAGAGACAGAGAGGAAAACTATCTGTTAAGATTAATAATCAGGTGGATAGATATAGTTTGAAAAAGAACAAGTTCCTAAGTCACAATGAAAAGCCCATGAAATGTCTCACAATCAGGTAACAGCCCTTCTACCTGTATTCATAAGACATTAAATATGCTCTATATTGCCATGGCCATGAGCCCCTTCACTGACTGTAATCTTTATCTAAATAGGAGGAGGAAACACTGAACCTAGCTCTGTTCTAAGGTTACAGGATCTTCTTGCCAAGCTATGCTAAATGACTCCTGACTGTAGCTTCATATATAAAAGTCTAGATAACTCGAGATAATTGAGTATCCATCTTCCAGATTTAAATATTCTTATACTTTAGTGTTTTCTTCCCAGCTGGTCCTTTGGTGTGCTGCTGTGGGAGATAGTGACACTTGGAGGAAACCCGTACCCAGGCATCGCCCCCGAACGCCTCTTTAACCTCCTCAAGACCGGCTACAGAATGGAGAGACCCGAGAACTGCTCAGAAGAAATGTGAGCTCCTCTCTGTGTTACTCCACAGCAGCTTCTTATTTTTTTGCCAAGTGCACTAACACCACCCAGCCTTTGGCACATGTGGATGTGGAAAATGACTCAGTAGGGAGGATTGAATTTCACTTATTTCACGCACTGAAACGTTTTCCCCTCTGCAGGTACAACCTCATGCTTCGCTGCTGGAAACAAGAGCCAGACAAGAGGCAGACATTCTCAGACATCAGCAAGGAGCTTGAAAAGATGATGGTGAAAAGTCGGGTATGGTGATGCCGCACACAATACAATATGATAAGTTATTCATAATCTTCCACATAGAGGAAGAAGCAAGGGGAGGATATTAATCAGCTGCTTCCTGTGCATTACAGGCACATTCAGTGATGCATCTTACAGTCAGACGTTAGAGTTTCTCCCTTCCCACTCTCTCTGAATGAGCACTATATCATTTCTGCTGGACAACATGTCGTACTGGCTCGCTGTGTAGAGCCACATACACACAGACACATGCTGGGCCTGCTTCACTGGATGATCTGTCACTCATTCCAAGTTCTTTAGATACCATAATTAGTGTTTGAGGAGCAATCCTCAAATGTGGCCTTGCACAGCATAATCACAGAGTCAGGCTAAATATAGAGCTTTTAAGGACAAGTGAGTGCAGATGTACCACAATGCAGCAGGGAAGTTCTTCACTGTTATCACAGAGAGGCAGCGGACACGTTACTGGGTGTACGTTTCTGCAGGAACATCTGCAGGGCCATGGAGTCAGTGCATGTGTCCGACCTCAAACATGAGCACACACTCAGCCTTTTATAGCGTGCTGTGTCCCCTCGTCTCCCTAATCAGCCTAATCACGCCCCGTCATCTGCTCTTGACAGGATTACCTGGACCTGGCGGCGTCCACACCGGCCGACGCCCTGCTGTACGACGACGCCCTCTCTGAAGAGGACACACCACTAGTGGACTGTAATAACGCCCCTCTCCCTCGAACCCTCCCCTCCACATGGATTGAAAACAAGCTCTATGGTAGAATCTCCCACGCATTTACTAGATTTTAGAAACAGGACACACGACACAATCTCTCTTTTTTGGCAAGTTGTGATTGGCTTTTTCCATAGTCAAGTGTGTGTGACTGTGATCTAGGCATGCCTTCTGCTGATTAACGCTGACATATCTCCCATTTCATCGTAAATGAGAGGCTCAGTAGAAAAAAGATCTTTGTGTCTTTACTTTTTTGTTTTATTTGGACCTGCTTCTAATGTACATGAATGCTGACCAAAAATAGTACATTTGTAAATATTGAATATACCCTTTATTCTTATTTATACAGCTCATATTCATACTCATGCATCATCATTTCATTTGTACATAGTTCCATTTTTTTCATTCCATCACATTCCATCATGATATTTGCTGACATTGGAAGAAACAGTGTGTGACATTTGAAACAGGTCCTCTCTGAATCAATCACTCACTGTGGTTTGAATTGCAGATTGTCTTAAATTTCCTGACTTCCTAATGTATAATAGCCATTATTCTAAAGTGACTGACACAATGTTGAACACACAAAACAGTAAGGCTTTTGAACGCAACTCTCAAGTGCATCTGTATTTCTCAACAGGAAACAATAATAGTTCAAACACAGGAACATGAGCAACATTACAGCCTCGATAATGACAAAAACACCAGTAAACTGTCAATCATTTGATCTTTAATTTTACACAAAGCCACAACGTTTCCTCTCTGAGTGTCATATGAGGACTTGCTCCCCACACTGCCACTGCAGAGTTTGATTCGAGAGCCTTACTGTCTGCACGCTGTTCATCTTTCACTGAGTGCAGAAAAATGATATGTTCTCGTTTTTAGGCATGTCATACCCGAACTGGCCTGAGAAGAGCCCGGTACCGCTCAACAGACATGACGCCACTAATCCAGTCTTTACAAGATATGCCAATGATAGTGTTTATGCAAACTGGATGGCTTTGCCTTCACCCGCAAAAGCTGTGGACAAGCTCGATAGCTAAAGACAAACCGACTCTGTAGAAAAGATGACTAATTGGTAGATGTATATATTTCTATAAGACTGTATATATATGCGATCTGATGCTAAAGTTGGTTCCCTTTTATTTCTGTTGCATGGGTATTCAAGATTTAAAACTGAGGTCTTTCTGCTGCAAAACTGGCTGGATCAACATAGACCATGCTTCATTCTGCTCTTCAGTATGTTAATTATTACCTCATGGGTCATGTTGGCCAAGTTGTATCACTGCATGACTAGTGTACCAGATTGTATGTCAGTGTCAATGTCTTTTTAAGTGCCTGTGCCGCTTCTACAATAGCCTGCAATTGTTAATGTGTGACTGTGAAGATCTTGCTCCAGCCCAGGAATTAAAGGGGACGTCTTTATCATCAACCTGTTGTAGACAGCTGGGGATTGACTGAGTGGACAAGGGAACAAAAGCGAAATGCTGACCTTGTTCTGAAAATGTAAAGTTTCTACTGTAGGAGGATCGTGCTCCTCAAAAAAATGTCAAAGACCCATTTTGTGTTTCCCCCACAAGATGTTTCAAAGCTGTTGTTGCCAAAGAAAAGTAACACAGAGATGTGAACGGTTTTCTTGCTTTTGTTTTTTATGATATTGTTTTTTACATGAAAAATATCAACTAGTGAGTGCTCCTTCAGTGTCAGGACATGAGACTTCATGTCGATTGTAACCATGTCCTCTGTTCACTTTTTGATTCAGTGTCCTTGTGGATAAACCATGATTATGTAAACTAAGGAGTGTTATCATTGTTATGTTGTTATTATTTGATTATGTTACATTAATAATAAACATTAAAAATGTGCAGTATGTGTGTTCACCTCATATCTCTGAGAATGGTCGGCTTCTGTCTGTGGTTATAATGATAACGTTTATACAATCAGCAAAATACAACTTAGGTTTATTATTTTAATAACATTACAATATAATGTTTAGCTTCTGTTTACCTCCAGACATGATTTGTTCATTATACTCTTTAGTTTGCTAAAGTGCTGCTATTTATTTGTGTTTATTTCAAGTATTTGCAGTTGTGATCTGGAAATGTGTCTGCAGAAGCCAAATAATACAAATTATCTAAACTCTGCTCTAAACTCTGGCTAAAAGTAGAGATCTGATACTGAAAAGTTAAAAAGGAGTGAGAGGTAGTGATTTGAATTTAAACATAATAATAGTCATTTAAGCACAATATTGAAATATTTAACTTTTTTTAGTGTATATGATATTAAACATCTGTTTAAGTGTTGAATAAAGATGAAATAGGTTATCTCTGATGTGAAAACTGGTTCGAGGACTGGTTTTCATTCGTCTCTTACATGATCAGGATTTTGAATATGTAATACTCATGTTCCAGCAACAGGTAACATTTAAACTCTCTTATTCTTACAGCATTTGACTCTATTGTGATTGAATCATTTAAACAGTATCTGTCAGTAAATAATAAAAAGACTTGTTTAAATAATTGAGTAAAATAGTTATGTGACAAAATGGTGACTTGTCCATGGTATCTTAGCACTTTCCATACAATACATACTGGGATGGAGGCCCCTGACCCCTGCTAGACCTAATGGAAAATTAATAAAGCGAATTAACAAAAGAATGATTCAAATAGAGGCTGAAGAAAACATTTCCTGGTTTTCTCTATGCACCACAGTAACAATAGATCCCATGTTTGCACAAAACAAATGATCTGTCTCCTGTTACAGTCCACGTCAGTGCTAATGCAACAGCTAATGTTTCACCACTGGCAAGTTTGTTTTACCTGTTGGGGAAATGAAAAGGAAAACAAAACAGAGCAGAGCTTTCTGGAGGTTATTTAATTATTAAGTTGTTCT